CAATTGTTTAACTCGCACTGATGTTTTAAAATCAAAAGTAATATGGACCTTGAAAGTTGTAAAGTCACATTACTCATGTACATCATGTCACAATATTCAATAAGTATTTGCTCTGATGTTTCCTGACAGTGACATTGCAAAAAAATTTACATGTGGTGACTGAAAAGTTGCTTACTTAACCACATTTGCTAAAAAAAATAAAGTTTAAAGACACTGAAGCAGTTTATTGAACAGAATCATTCCAATAATAACATTTTAAAACATTTAATTTACATAAGATGCCCCTATTTGCATGTTATACTATGTAAGAATTAATGCACTTAATAGATTCTGTAAGTAAAGTCGTTTTTTGTTTATAATTATTTACTTGATTGTTCCTGGAAATTTATTGATTCAGTCCTGGAACTTTTTCAACTTGTGTCTCTACAGACCCTGTATCAATTTAAGTTATTTCATGGACTTTAAAAAGATTAATTGTGTTGCACACTTGGTTTCACTCAGAGCCAAAGCTCTGAGCTACTTATACCACCCACCATGAAAAGGAATTGTTGGGCATTTCAGTTATGTTAAGAGCCACTCAACAATAACATACAGTAAATTTACATTTTTATTCTTTAAGTTATGTCACAATTTGAAATGTCAATGATAGTGTGGTTAATTCCTAAAAATTTAGTGTAGAATATCCTGCTTGTGAAATAAAATTTGACATCAAGATTTTTCATGCCTGTTCTCCTATCATTTCAAAAGTGAATATTAAAGCATTAATTGCCTTGCTCTTTTAGACAATCACATGTTATTTTTCATATAAACAATATTAAACAAGATGCTCTCATTAATTTTGAGTATGTTAAGAAAAAATTGGGAAGTTTAAAGAGTGATAAAACACCTGTGCCAACACCTGGGTCATAGATTGTGAATCTATTTAAAAGTAGCCTAACCTCGCATTCAATATATTTTTCTTCTTTGGTGCCAATTACCCACACACCATGAAGGATAGAGAAGCTTCCCACAGTAAAAGTAACTTCCAATTTTTCTCTTACTGGAACTTTGTCAACCTGCTTTTCACATCAATCTATCTTCTATCTTTATTTCTGGAGGCAATTTCCCACCTTTCATTACCAAATATGGTCAAACAATTGTAACTGTAGAAGCAATGATGATCAACATGTTGTAAGGTGTCCAGTCAATAAACTCGTTCACTCATGGACTGTTTTTTTTTAATAATGAGTTTCTTATCTTATTTGGGGTAAATGGAGTATTCTCAACAGAACATTGCACTATAAGTCAAGTTTGTTCTTCTTTTTCTGATGTCTGGTTAGCTCTTTGTTGTCCCTTTGACCTGGATTAGCTTGAAGATTCATCCGTATAATGTTTCCGGGTTTATTAACAGGAGTCAGTTTCTCATGGTCTCGGTTGTAATAGCCATGTTTCCCACTTTTATAACAGTTCTCTTTTTTTGACATCCTTTGAAGAGAGTTTTTATTACCTACAGGCTTTCTTCAGTTTCTGGCAATATGACCTTTTCTAGCTACAGTTGAAACACCTATTGTTTTGTGGTTAACATTTTACATTATGTGTAATTAGTTGTCTAACTAATCCTTGCAGTTCTTCCAGGCTGTTGTCAGGGGGATTTGATGGTTCACTATTACTTTATCTGATGATCTTTTTTTAGATGATGCCTTCAGTTGTTTTTCAGCAAATTTAATGAATTCAAGTTCCTTCACCAACTGGAAAACTTCCTTTGAAGATGTACACCTACCTTGCTTTAGTTTAATTCATATATCCTCATTTTTTTATGGCATCTATGAATTGGTCACATACCCAGATGATCCATGTGAAATGATGGATTCTTTGGTAAGATAATTTGTTCAAGCCTTTCCAAATCTTTTGCAAGTTTGCCCAAGATATTTTTTTCCCTCCATAATATGCACTTGAACTTTGCGTTAAATACTATCTTGTGGTATGGTACTCCAAACCTGTTAAATAATGCAGCTACCAATACTTGATGGTTGTTACAGCTCTCAGTTGGAATGTTACTTAATGGCATTAAAGCTAAGCCATTTAAATATGCTTGTTATTAATTATTCCACCCATTCACTCTGGAAATAATTTCAAACTGAGTTTGATACTCCTTCCATGGTTTCCTTTTCATCATATTTTATTGAGAAATCAATGTACCTACCAAATTCAGTTCTAGAATTTTAGCTGGCCAGTTCAACAGCTGAAACAGTCCAGGAAGGTCCTGCAGTCATATGGCACAGCAGTAGTGGTAACCTGTATAGACCTAATAGTTTCTCTTATTCCATATTGTAATAGTAATTGGTATTTTAGGTTTACTAACCCATTTTCCAAATGTTTTACTCTTTCATTGAGGTTATTTTCTATGTCACTGATTTCTTTTAGTACTTCTTCAATTTTTTAATTACCGCTTTTTTGTACTTCTTTAATCTTGTTGTTGTAATCCCTCTGAACATCTCCAGTAGTCACGTCGATTTTGTCTTCAATCTGAATTATTTTTGTTCATAATTCTTTGAATATTATGTATTTCTTTTAAGTTCTTTCTTCAGTTCCTTCTCTTACTTCTTGATCTTTTAATTTTCCATAAATCTCTTCTTTGTCTTCTTTTAATTTTCTGTCTGTTTTCCCTTGTTCTTCTTTTACTTTTATCTCACTTCTTCTTGATATTTTAATGCTGTCTATTTCTGTGTATTCTTCTTCCACTGTTTCATCATCTCCAGCAAATTTTTGATATCAGTTTGTGCTTTTGTTTGCCATCTTGAAATTTATTCAAAGTTCTATTTTATTTTCACCAAAATAATCTCACTTTGACATCAGTGTTGTATCACAAGGTAGTTATTTTTAATTGTTTGATAAAAATAATATGTGAAGTCCAATTCACTTAATAATAATTATTTAATTTCTTTAATAGTGTTCTATACAGGTTATACAGGGTGCATATGTATCCTTGGAAGAGCTTGAAAAGGGACCTTTTTTTGCAGAAGTACTTGAAAATATTATAATATCAGAATATATCAATATATCTAACTTTTATGCATGTTGCAGAGTTGAGCTCAATAAATAAATTCTTTCTTTTCTTTTTAGTCTACATTCATATGTTGAACAAATAAATAGGGATCCTATAAACTTCAGTGGCATCTAATGGATTTTTATGTAGATTTTAGTTTCCAAAAAATGCTTAAAAAACATTCTGAGAGTGCTTAGAAAGTGCTTGAAATTGATCTGAGCAATTCAGTATGAACCATGAGTTATATTCACTGGTAGGTTTGACTTCACAAACAATGTTTCAACAGAAATTCTGAGACTGATGGTATACTAACTCAGAAATGCACCTAATCTGTAACTTGCTAGCAAAATTTCATCGCTAATTGGTCAATAACAAATGCTCACTAATTAACATTGAACTGATCAATTAACTAGCTCACTCAGTCTGGCATTTTTATATTGTACCTAGTTTTCTACGTACTACAGGAGAAGCTTTGAGATTCCACAGAGGCCTAAACTTTTATGAAATTTCTAGACTTCACACAGTTATTACATCATGTAAAAAATACCCCCTCTAGTGAATAAAATAAGATATTAAAAATAGTCTACAACAATATACTAGTGCAAGTGAACAGTTTTGTATGAGTATTTTTTATCTTTTTTTTTGTTTGGAAATAATAATACAGAATCTATCATTACAACAAAGTTGGGATACAGTGTAATATACAAATTTACAACAACAGTGAAACATTTTTAATATAATTTATTTATTCACTAAGTCAAAATCAAAATATCAATCAAGTTAAGTTAAACATATAACTAATAGAGGAGTGTAAACTATGGCATCAATGATTGTTTTAAATGAATTTAAAATGTTATTGTTTAAATTTCACATTGTATATTTGATAGTAAATTTGGTTAGGGATTTTTATTAATATGAAGAATATTTTGTTTAAGCAATTTAAACTTTGACTTAAATCTTTATTTCACATTGACTTGGTTATTATTGACATGACACTTTGAATATGTAGAATTATCAGATGTCTTAGCTAGACTTTGTAAGTTTCCACAAGATGAAGAATCTCAGTTATAGAATTTCTATATACCAGACATTACTTGCAGCTTATTATTTTGTTTAAACATGTTTTTCTTTATCATTTATTTTTGTAATAATAATTAATGAGTATAAAACTAGATATTTCAAAGCTGTGTGCCTTTTACCTTTTGAATTCTAAATTCTAGATATTTTACTCTTTTCAGTAGGCTATTAGACCTTTATTGAGTAGTAATGGCTTGAATGGAGCTATTTTATAAAATTACTGAATTTTTTTTTTGGTTTAATATTCAGGAGAAGTTGTCAGTTTAGAATATAAACCTCTGTGATTGAAGACACCAGATAAACTGATGATGAAATATTTTGGCCTGATTATTTTTGGTTAGGACACGCTTTTACTACTTTTGTAGAACTTTTAGGTGTATACAGTTGTCTCAGTAAACTTAACAGAGGCAAAAGTTTATTTCATATGACCTTAACCCCATATTACAAAGTTGTTGTTTTTTCTCATGGTACAACACTCACTATAAAGAACTGAACAAAAATTTGGGTGAAATCACTTGATTTCTTTGTTAAATACAAAGGAGATCCTACCAGTAATGAATGGGATTACTTACAATATTGATGACATTTATGCTAAATTTTTGTGTTTTTATGCCTTTGATGTAATTAGTGACCCTGTAACAACAAAGTTGTGGATCCACAAGTAATCTGATGAATAAATAGTTTAGAAAATTTTGTTTAAAAAGCTGGTGGGGTCTATATGGACCTAAAAGGTGATTCTAGGGTTAAGTATCTTGGATAAACAGCATAGATGGGTAAAAATAGCATACTGACAGGTTTATGTCCTGCAAATTGCATTTTAAACAGAGTTACAGAGAATATCGTCATACTTTTAAATAGCAACATGTCTACCTTCTTAAGACTACCTTTTTCTCATCAGGAGTGGCTTGCTAAATTTTTGTGCTGTTGCCCTTGCCTTGGATGAACTAGGGTACCGCGCACTTGGTATACGTATTGACAGTGGTGATCTTGCATACCTCTCCATTATTGCCAAAGAAACATTTAACAAAATAGCTCAAAGGTAAAACTGTACTTCTAGTCTAAGAGATTACTTGTTTCCTCTTCATTTTCGTTAATTGATTAAAAGTGATGTTATGATGGTAAAATAGAAGTGTTGGATTTAAGCTAAAAAATCATAATACCTTGTAAAGAAGGGTGAAAATTGTTTTTAATTAAAAGAAAAATAATTGTTTGCATTTTCACTTTATTCATTTGAGTTTCAATTAGATAATAATTTTTTCTTGATAGGTAACAACTGTGAAGGTGTAAGGTACTCTTCATTATGTATATGTTCTACACAAATAACATGTTTTCTTCCTGATCTATGATACAGTAGTGGGATAAAATGATTAATACCGTGCGATATATGCATTCTAATCATTTAAGGAATTTGTCAGTAAGAGAGTTATATATGCTTTTAATTTTATATGGATGAAACTAAAAGGTTATTCCTATGATTAATATACTGCGATATGTTTCTTGTATGATTATTTTTGTGTGTATATATGTTTCTTACTCATGCTGCATCATTGCAAGCACACCCTGTTGGTTGTGTTAATAACTTCCTGGTTTCAGGTATGAATATCCATGGTTTAGTTCTTTGGCTGTAGTTGCCAGCAATGATATCAACGAAGAAACTATTCTCTCTCTGAATGAACAGGTAAATGGAATTTTAAGAAGTTATGAAACATAAAAATTGTTTTAAGAAATTTCCTAGTTTGTGTGCAGGCTAGTTTTGATATTTTGTTAAAGTGACAATATGTTATAGAATAGTAACATACAGTACGTTATAGAATAATAAACAAATCTTGTTATCGTGGAATGGTGAATGAACACGGGAGTTCACAACACATAACTTTCTTTAGGTAAGAACAAATTTAGTTGTGCAATTCAATTGAAGTAATAAAATAGACAGCTGAAAGACATCAAAGGAAACTGATATTTATTTATTTTAGAAGCTTACTTGTATGTTAAGAAATCACTAATGTTTTCATATTTTATCTTTAAACATTTCATTGTTTTAATCATCTACTATATGCAAAATATAAAATAGTGAACTGTACACAGAGTTTGAAATAGTGACGTCACCATTTTGTAAATTACTTATTAAAATGCATACAAAATGTTGAATTTACAATGTATTATTTACATTGTGCAGTTCTGTGTTAATAAATTTGAAATCATTATCATTTTGTTGGCCATTTTTCAGATCATCTAATATATCTGAAAACTGAATATCACTGAAATGAAAGGCAGGACATATACTGTTGCCTTTTATTGTCTTAGGCCTAAAAAATGCTATTTGTAGTATTCCATTAATTAACTTAATGAGAAATTTAAGAGTTGAAGGTATTTTATTATTATTTATCTTGACTTCATATTAAATGTCAAATTATCACCGGTTTTATTCTAGGTGTAGAGTGGAGTTCATCACTTTTCCTTTATAAAAAATGTTGAGCAATTTCTACTGACCACATCCAACATTTAACATAGTTCAAATTAAACTCTACTAAATTGTGAAACAGCTTTGTATAAATGCATGTGTGTGTGTGTATTAGCAGTAGGTAAACAACATATATATGCTTTTGTTTTGTAATATAATTATTATATAATTTTGTATCTTTTTTTTAAAATGATTGATGATCAGAATAACTCTGTTTTCTGTTTCTTTCTTGTAACAGCTTGGACGTAACTTCACCTAAAGATGAGAACTTGTTTGAATCCATTTATCTTTATTTCACTGCACTAAAGTAATCTTTAATGTAAACTTAATCAAACATTTTGACTTGGAAATAGTTGTTTGTGTATTTAATGAGCTAGACTGCTCTGTTTATAAGAAAAATCAGTTTTTTAGAGTTCATTGAGTACTTACATGTGTGTGTAATATACATATAATGTTTACAATGACCTAACATACCATATTTTTATTGCTGCAGGGTCATAAGATTGACTGTTTTGGTATTGGAACCCATCTGGTAACCTGCCAGAAACAGCCAGCTTTAGGCTGTGTTTACAAGGTGGGTAAAAAAAAGATAACCAATTTTTTACCACAAATATGTGACTGTATAACATAGGAAAGTAACCACTTTCTCATTTGAAATCGTTACTTGTATCAAACAGCACACTCAAAAGTTTTTTTGTTCAAGATGAGAACATCTAGAAGTTTGTAATCAACTTTGAAAAAAAACATTATTTTTTTTAATTTATTGCTTTTTAATATTTATCTAAAAATCTTAAGTAAACATGAATTACATCATTCTTTACCTTCTTATAGAGCATTTGATTAACACAGGAGAGAAAAAGCATACAAGATGACATAAGGCTAACAAATTTGATTTAAGACATAATGCATACAATTATTTACATGTAAAAAAGTATCATTTGCTTTTAATATTCATTCATCATATGTATATATGACATGACAGAATGTATTTGATATTAATTAAATATTTTTGAAGCATTTGTGAGAAATTTTATTGTGATGAAGACATTGTACTACTTTGTTACAGCATTACGAGTGACAGATTTTTGCAGTTATATTTTAAAATGTATTTAATGACATTTTGGACTTTATCTCAGAAGTTTGAAAATTAAGTGCCCTCTCAATTAACTGTAGATACATTGAAATATTTTTATCTGTTAGTTTGTGTGCAAATAACTTATAAAAAATTAATATTTTATGCTTTAGTTAGTTCAGGTAAACAAGCGGCCTTGCATCAAACTTAGTCTGGATGTAGAAAAAGTTACAATTCCAGGGAAAAAGAATGCTTTCCGACTTTATGGTCAAGATGGTAAGTTTTATTGTTAGTTATTTATGAAGCTTTACATACTAATGAGCTTTTGGTTTTTCCATATGCTTAACAAAAGGGAAAAGATACCAAATTTAACTGAAAATTAATGATTGATAGGAACAAAAAAGTTTTTGTTTTATCTTGATTATACTGGAAGTTTGTTGAAGATAAATCAGTCACAAGAAAATATCAAAGCTTTATGTTGTTGTGGCATTAAAGAATATTGTAGTAAGGAATTGTCAGATTGGTCTCATTATTTAGATGTAGTGTACTTTTAAATGTAAAAATATTTTTATGCACATTAAAAAAAAGTATATAAATTGTTCCCAGATTTATATGTAACGTAAAGGAAAAACTTTCAAAAGTTTACTTACAGACTATAGTTTAAACTGGATGTGTTAAAGGTAATGGCTATTCATGGTTAGCTGTAGCATACATAATTTATAATGTACAGTATTGGAATATTGTGGCTAACACTAAGTGTTTGGTCAGTGTTGCTACTAAATGAGTAATAAAGTATATTATAATAAAGCATTTTCAAGGATGTTTATAATACTGGTAATCATCTCTCCCTTTTCTTAACATTTGTCAAAACTTGTTTTTGTATAACATCTATTAAATAATGTAGTTGTATTTTATGGTAAAAATATGCAAAACATTATAGGTATTGAGCAGTTTTGTTAGTCATATCTAGACTGGTGATCACCTTTCAGGTGTCAAGTGCCTACCTGCATATCAGATTTCAAAATTTAATAATAATTCTAGCCCTACTCCAACAGCTTTTAACATTTTTGACTGAAAAATATTTTAGTATTTACATTTGTCAGTACGTAATATTTATTTAATATGCAAAGAAAATAAAAAAAAATATTCCAATTAGATCACTGTATTCTCTATACAGACTCATTCAACTGAAGGTTTTGAAATGCTTCACATTAGCTCTCATCCTCTCAGAAAATCACTAAAAACTGGCCAGTTAATGTTCATCAACTTTATTTGTCCAATTTTATGGGATTCTTGGCATCATGAAGCCTCTCTCGATTCTAGATTTTCATATTAACCTGCCATCAGGATGAGGATTTATAGCATGTGGTTTGGGATAAGCAACATCATTATAAGCTTTTCAAAATCAAGCCTACCATCAAAGATTGCATATCTAACTACAAATATCATAAGGGAAGAAGCTGTTGTAACAGAACTCTGCATGACCATAGTCTTTTCACATAGTTTTTTTGTACATTTGTTGTCCTGCCAGTTTGTGAGCAATGTGGCATTCATATTACTATTGTCAAGATTTTGCTTTCCTGCTGTTGTTGTGACATTCATCAACGGCACTGTTTTAGACATATTTTAAGTCTCTTAGATATTGGGAAATGCCATTGGAAGTGATGACACTGTTCAAATTACCAATGTTTTAGTTAATTCTATTTAATTTCTTAACCTTAAAAACAAAAAATGTCTTATTATTTCTCCTATTTATTTTCTACATTTTATCTTTTTGTTATTGTTAAAAAATATGTAGTTTGGTACATGTAGCCTCTGAAGTTTTGTGCAAGGTTGTCCTGAAAAGAAATAAAGAACAAGTATATGAGAATTAAATAGATAGTACTGACAGTGATAAAATGAAAAGTCATTTGGTACCCACATTAAATGTACCAATATAATTGGGCCTTATTCTAAGTTTTAAATTATTTTCACCATTTCTTATTGCTTTCTTATATCTTACTACACTGACTTACACAGTTCTTTTCTAATGAAAGATGATTAAAATTCTTATGTGCTAAACTATCACCTACTATTCCTGTTCACATTTTGAATGATATATCTAGTGAAAGAACTGGAGAATCAAATAAATGATATCCAGAATGTTACACAGTCTTTAGAAATTTAAATTTCGAAGTGCTTTTATTTATAGCACCTTACAGTGTTGTTAAAAATTTCATAGCACGTTTGATATATATTCCTGAAGTGAAGAAAAAAGCGATGTGTGAATAGCGTAATAGAGAAGTCACCTTAAATTAAATCTTCACACTCATATTTATCTAGGAAATTGTTTTGTGTAGTAGTTTTTGAAAAGCATAAGGAAAACAATGTTTTAATGTTATTAAAACTGAAATGAAGTAATCCTATGCAGATATCTGTGTTTTGTAATCAGCCAATATCTATTTAATACCCTATTCTTCTTTTTTATTCATTATTAGATGCTATGTTATAATCAACTCATTAAACTCGCACTGAATTTTATGAGATTAGTATTTTTTTTTTCTGTGGTTCATGAAATTGTTGTTTTCTTTGGTCATTTGAATACCCAAATAAAGCTTAGGACTGCAAAAATTACAAAAAAAAAATCTTTCTTATTTATAGGGCGTGCTTTAATTGACTTACTACAAAAAGTTGAAGAACCTGCACCAGATCCAGGAAAACGAGTTTTGTGTCGCCATCCATTCCAGGTAAATTGATGGGTTACTAATACTTGTGTTATTAGTTATGTGAAATGGCTCTTTTCTCAGTGTTAATGAACACAGAGAAACAGCCAGAAGTAAAATGATTAATGTTAAGAACTTAGTAAATGCTTTGTAAAGAAAAGAAAGTATAGATTCTATCCAATCTACTTAGTGAAGTGAAATGTGTAACAAAAATAACTTTTCTGGAAAATAATCACTAAATGAGGAAGGAATTGTTTTTTGTGTGAAAAACCCCTTGTTAATAATAAACTTAACAATAACTGTGTAATGTAAATAATATAATACATCTAAAGATTTTATCATTTATTAAAATTTTAAGTAAATAATGTTATGGATTACCCAATGTTATTTTAATGTTGAGCATTGTATTAATACTAGGGACAGTTAGAACAGTATGATGTTTGAATCAGTATCATCTATAGTGCATGTAGTTACATTAATATTAAGGATAACTTTATCAGTAGGTCTGAAGGTCAAGAGGAAGTTAAAAATGAGTAAGGCAATGGTAGAATGGATACATCTTTAAATTTCCAGCCTTGGACTTTTGAGCTGCCCCTGCTTATCATGTTTGTAGTTGTGGGGGAGAACTGATTATATTACAATACATATCAATTTCTGTATAATGAATTCAACTTCCATCAGTGGCTCTGCTGAAGTGCTAGTGTGGAAAGTAGTGTAGTAGAAAGTACAGAAAAATTTTCAATTATTTATAGGAGGAACGTGGTTGTCAATAACCGTATAAATAAAGATGACATGAAAATGGTTTTAGTCTGGCAATTCTATTGAAAACTTTGGTCATGGAAAGAGGGATCAAATTTTTTTTATTAGATTGACTAATTATTTTAGTAACATAAGCTAATTCTGATTGATCAGTTTATAGTAAATAAGGGATCAAATTTTTTTTTGTTAGATTGACTAATTATTTTAATAACATAAGCTAATTCTGATTGATCAGTTTATAGTAAATAAGGGATCAAATTTTTTTGTTAGATTGACTAATTATTTTGGTAACATAAGCTAATTCTGATTGATCAGTTTATAATAGATAAACCGATTACTTATTATCAAACCAATTATTCAACATATTCCTAAACTTGAAATATCCTATATAATGAAAATAGACATGATTTATATCACTGCTACTTATATAACATATTAACCAAACATAACTACTACCCATAAAATATGAATGTTTGTGCTATTATATGACTGATTTCATTCAGTGTCAGCTGTGATTGCACAGTATTTAGATCAGTAAGTTTGTACAAATGTTTCATTTACATTCAAAAGTTGTTAGGGTTTTGTTGTTTAATCAGCACTAAGCACAAATTGTGTATGATTATTGAATGAGTACCATTTTCAGATGTACTTGTATGTTTTGTTTTAATGTTTCAGCATCAAAGTTCTACTACTAAGATTGTTGCATCAGCATTAACTAGCATTTTATAACTATGGTAGTTGTATTAGTATTAGTCAGTGTTGTATTACTAATAGTGTTACATTGGCTTGAGATATTGATATAAAGAGTATAGTTGTATCAGAAGGAAGTATTTGTAGTTGTATCATTCCCAGTTCTATTGACAAAACTTCAAATTTCATCACTCACAATTAATGTACTTTTATTAGTATGGTCCAGATTTGTACCACAGTGGTTATATTAATATCAGCTTTATTTGTTCAATAATATGGTTGTATCAATACAAGCTATATACGTATCAGAATTTTGGTTCAGTCAGTATCAGTTACAGTTGTTTTAACTATATATAACTTTTATTCTTCTATTTAAATACTTCAGTATTTATCATATTCAAATTAAAATGTACAAGTTTCATAAATAAGTAGTTTAGTTGAGGGAACATAGAAAACAATTGAGATTTTCAGTTTTTTAATTAATATTGATTGTTTAAATTACAGTGAAGTAAAAGCTACATTTGGGAGTATATAAATGATTACACTTCTTAGAGTTGGTCAGTCATGTAACATGTGCCTTAAGAATTAATTAACTTCATATCTTTTATGTTCTTTTTACTTTGTTACAGGAATCAAAACGAGCTTATGTTCTTCCTAGTAAGGTGGAACCTTTGTATAAAATTTACTGGGATAAAGGAAAGGTACAGTGTAATAAAAATATTTTCAAAGGATTTCATTTATCTGACTTGTATTGTTTTTATTTTTAAAATGCAGTTAAGTTGTAACTAAATTCATTTGAAATTTCAATAAACACCATACCTTGAAATAAGGAAAGTATAATAAAATTAAAAATCATTTTGAAATAATTCATCAGTAAATATTATTCATTCAGTAATACTCTATTTCTAATAGAAGTTTACTTACATTTATTTTCTTTGAAAGTGAATTTTGGTCTTTTATCCACATCTTACTAGCTACATGTGTTCTTATGTGTATTACATGTGAACTGTCTTTTATTTGTTTTTTCTCATCCTCATTTATCTTGCAGATTTGTGAACCTTTACCAACACTTCAAGAGGTACGTGAACATGTACGCCAGTCACTCTTCCATCTTCGCCAGGATATTAAGCGCAGCTTGAATCCCACACCTTACAAGGTAGGGCCTTTGTTTTCAAAAATACAATTTTGTGATTACTGAAAATTTTGTTTTTATAAAGATTTAAGAAAACTTATTGTTGTGTAAGCATGGTGATAGCCTGATATATAAAAAAATAAATTTTTATTTCACATTAAATTTGTTCAGAATTAGTAGTATTTCTTTATAAAGATATTAAATATTTAAACATGAAACTTACTATACATAAAATTACCTTGCATGTATGAAGCATGTTCGTTGAATTTCTGGATGACTGCAATATTTTCATCATACATCAATCCACTCATCTTTGTGATTTTAAAATGTATGTTTAAATATAAATAACATAAATGTTTACATACACAAAGTAGAAAAAAAATTTACTATATTTCAAGCATTCACTATTAGATATACATACATACACACACACACACACACACACACACACACACACACACACAATTAGGAGGAATACAACATTAAAAGCATTACACAATATTTGT